ATATCTCTCAGTTTTACAGTTCTTCATATATATCTCTGTCAAAGAAATAAATTCATCCGTTATAAAATATAAGTATATCTCTCAGTTTTACAGTTCTTCATATATATCTCTGTCAAAGAAATAAATTCATCCGTTATAAAATATAAGTATATCTCTCAGTTTTACAGTTCTTCATATATATCTCTGTCAAAGAAATAAATTCATCCGTTATAAAATATAAGTATATCTCTCAGTTTTACAGTTCTTCATATATATCTCTGTCAAAGAAATAAATTCATCCGTTATAAAATATAAGTATATCTCTCAGTTTTACAGTTCTTCATATATATCTCTGTCAAAGAAATAAATTCATCCGTTATAAAATATAAGTATATCTCTCAGTTTTACAGTTCTTCATATATATCTCTGTCAAAGAAATAAATTCATCCGTTATAAAATATAAGTATATCTCTCAGTTTTACAGTTCTTCATATATATCTCTGTCAAAGAAATAAATTCATCCGTTATAAAATATAAGTATATCTCTCAGTTTTACAGTTCTTCATATATATCTCTGTCAAAGAAATAAATTCATCCGTTATAAAATATAAGTATATCTCTCAGTTTTACAGTTCTTCATATATATCTCTGTCAAAGAAATAAATTCATCCGTTATAAAATATAAGTATATCTCTCAGTTTTACAGTTCTTCATATATATCTCTGTCAAAGAAATAAATTCATCCGTTATAAAATATAAGTATATCTCTCAGTTTTACAGTTCTTCATATATATCTCTGTCAAAGAAATAAATTCATCCGTTATAAAATATAAGTATATCTCTCAGTTTTACAGTTCTTCATATATATCTCTGTCAAAGAAATAAATTCATCCGTTATAAAATATAAGTATATCTCTCAGTTTTACAGTTCTTCATATATATCTCTGTCAAAGAAATAAATTCATCCGTTATAAAATATAAGTATATCTCTCAGTTTTACAGTTCTTCATATATATCTCTGTCAAAGAAATAAATTCATCCGTTATAAAATATAAGTATATCTCTCAGTTTTACAGTTCTTCATATATATCTCTGTCAAAGAAATAAATTCATCCGTTATAAAATATAAGTATATCTCTCAGTTTTACAGTTCTTCATATATATCTCTGTCAAAGAAATAAATTCATCCGTTATAAAATATAAGTATATCTCTCAGTTTTACAGTTCTTCATATATATCTCTGTCAAAGAAATAAATTCATCCGTTATAAAATATAAGTATATCTCTCAGTTTTACAGTTCTTCATATATATCTCTGTCAAAGAAATAAATTCATCCGTTATAAAATATAAGTATATCTCTCAGTTTTACAGTTCTTCATATATATCTCTGTCAAAGAAATAAATTCATCCGTTATAAAATATAAGTATATCTCTCAGTTTTACAGTTCTTCATATATATCTCTGTCAAAGAAATAAATTCATCCGTTATAAAATATAAGTATATCTCTCAGTTTTACAGTTCTTCATATATATCTCTGTCAAAGAAATAAATTCATCCGTTATAAAATATAAGTATATCTCTCAGTTTTACAGTTCTTCATATATATCTCTGTCAAAGAAATAAATTCATCCGTTATAAAATATAAGTATATCTCTCAGTTTTACAGTTCTTCATATATATCTCTGTCAAAGAAATAAATTCATCCGTTATAAAATATAAGTATATCTCTCAGTTTTACAGTTCTTCATATATATCTCTGTCAAAGAAATAAATTCATCCGTTATAAAATATAAGTATATCTCTCAGTTTTACAGTTCTTCATATATATCTCTGTCAAAGAAATAAATTCATCCGTTATAAAATATAAGTATATCTCTCAGTTTTACAGTTCTTCATATATATCTCTGTCAAAGAAATAAATTCATCCGTTATAAAATATAAGTATATCTCTCAGTTTTACAGTTCTTCATATATATCTCTGTCAAAGAAATAAATTCATCCGTTATAAAATATAAGTATATCTCTCAGTTTTACAGTTCTTCATATATATCTCTGTCAAAGAAATAAATTCATCCGTTATAAAATATAAGTATATCTCTCAGTTTTACAGTTCTTCATATATATCTCTGTCAAAGAAATAAATTCATCCGTTATAAAATATAAGTATATCTCTCAGTTTTACAGTTCTTCATATATATCTCTGTCAAAGAAATAAATTCATCCGTTATAAAATATAAGTATATCTCTCAGTTTTACAGTTCTTCATATATATCTCTGTCAAAGAAATAAATTCATCCGTTATAAAATATAAGTATATCTCTCAGTTTTACAGTTCTTCATATATATCTCTGTCAAAGAAATAAATTCATCCGTTATAAAATATAAGTATATCTCTCAGTTTTACAGTTCTTCATATATATCTCTGTCAAAGAAATAAATTCATCCGTTATAAAATATAAGTATATCTCTCAGTTTTACAGTTCTTCATATATATCTCTGTCAAAGAAATAAATTCATCCGTTATAAAATATAAGTATATCTCTCAGTTTTACAGTTCTTCATATATATCTCTGTCAAAGAAATAAATTCATCCGTTATAAAATATAAGTATATCTCTCAGTTTTACAGTTCTTCATATATATCTCTGTCAAAGAAATAAATTCATCCGTTATAAAATATAAGTATATCTCTCAGTTTTACAGTTCTTCATATATATCTCTGTCAAAGAAATAAATTCATCCGTTATAAAATATAAGTATATCTCTCAGTTTTACAGTTCTTCATATATATCTCTGTCAAAGAAATAAATTCATCCGTTATAAAATATAAGTATATCTCTCAGTTTTACAGTTCTTCATATATATCTCTGTCAAAGAAATAAATTCATCCGTTATAAAATATAAGTATATCTCTCAGTTTTACAGTTCTTCATATATATCTCTGTCAAAGAAATAAATTCATCCGTTATAAAATATAAGTATATCTCTCAGTTTTACAGTTCTTCATATATATCTCTGTCAAAGAAATAAATTCATCCGTTATAAAATATAAGTATATCTCTCAGTTTTACAGTTCTTCATATATATCTCTGTCAAAGAAATAAATTCATCCGTTATAAAATATAAGTATATCTCTCAGTTTTACAGTTCTTCATATATATCTCTGTCAAAGAAATAAATTCATCCGTTATAAAATATAAGTATATCTCTCAGTTTTACAGTTCTTCATATATATCTCTGTCAAAGAAATAAATTCATCCGTTATAAAATATAAGTATATCTCTCAGTTTTACAGTTCTTCATATATATCTCTGTCAAAGAAATAAATTCATCCGTTATAAAATATAAGTATATCTCTCAGTTTTACAGTTCTTCATATATATCTCTGTCAAAGAAATAAATTCATCCGTTATAAAATATAAGTATATCTCTCAGTTTTACAGTTCTTCATATATATCTCTGTCAAAGAAATAAATTCATCCGTTATAAAATATAAGTATATCTCTCAGTTTTACAGTTCTTCATATATATCTCTGTCAAAGAAATAAATTCATCCGTTATAGTATGTAAGTATATTTCTCAGTTTTCTTACTTATGGGCCTATACTTTAAAAAAAAGTTAAGAGATCGTAAGTTCATCAGCCAATCATTGACGGCCTTTCAAGTAAAATCCACCAATCATAGACAAGAAAATAGAGCGTAAGTACTTACGTTCACTTAGTGAGTTTTGAAAGTATGGCCCTGGTTCATTCAGAAACGTTTCAGTTATCGTCATCCAGAAATGTCCCCATTTACCTGACGCATCTCTATTCTATATCGTCTATATAACGTTGATGTTTCTAGTATATTCCTCTAGTTTTAACTATCCTATCCTACTTATCCTAAAACTATTAATTTTTTAATTATAACGGTAATCCTACTTATCCTGAAACTACTAAATTTTTAATTATAACTGATCCTAGTCATCTTTTATCTATCCTACCCTAGATATCCTGAAACTATTAAACTTTTAATTATAACGCTAACTATCCTAGTTATTCTGAAACTATTAAACTTTTAATTATAACGGTTCCTAGTCATCTTTTATCCTAGTCATCTTTTCCTAGTTACCCTAGAACTATTTAACTATTATTCATAACTATTTACTCAGGAGGAGACCTGCTGACAGCGCAGTCAGACCGCCGGCCCGGCGACGGCGGTCTGCGCAGGGACGGCGACCTGGGCTCGTGGTTCCCTACAGACGACGTCTTCCGTAACGTCATCACCGTCGTGCCTGGTGTCGTGTTCGAGGCACGGCCTCACGAGCCTCCTAGTGACGGTAGGTGATAGTGACGGTCATCACCGTCGTGCCTGGTGTCGTGTTCGAGGCACGGCCTCACGAGCCTCCTAGTGACGGTAGGTGCTAGTGACGGCCATCACCGTCGTGCCTGGTGTCGTGTTCGAGGCACGGCCTCACGAGCCTCCTAGTGACGGTAGGTGCTAGTGACGGTCCGTGCTGGTGACGGTACGTGTGCTAGTGACGGTGCGTGTGCTAGTGACGGTACGTGTGCTAGTGACGGTACGTGTGCTAGTGACGGTACGTGTGCTAGTGACGGTACGTGTGCTAGTGACGGTAGGTGCTAGTGACTGTCATCACCGTCGTGCCTGGTGTCGTGTTCGAGGCACGGCCTCACGAGCCTCCTAGTGACGGTAGGTGCTAGTGACGCTGCTAGTGACGGTTCTAGTGACGGTGCTAGTGACGGTACGTGCTAGTGACGGTACGTGCTGGTGACGGTACGTGTGCTAGTGACGGTACGTGTGCTAGTGACGGTACGTGTGCT